GTCATTTCAGGGGACTCACATCGCCCACAGTAATAGACGTGTAGTCACTATGCTGCCTACTCCCTGTATGGTCGCTGATCAGCACGCTGGGTCGTCGCGCCGCCCGCCATGGCGGGATGGGACGTTACGACCCGCTGACAACGCCAGGGCATGGCATCATCAGGCGGACAGGCGCCCGGCGTGGGGCTGTCCCTGTCGCCACCGGCCGTGTCAGCGGGGCCCGCACAAAGGAAAGGAAAGGTCCGGCGACCCTGAAGGACTTTCTCTCCCTCTCGTTCTTCTCTTTTCTCCCGTTGTAACCCGTGCCTTCCCTTGGCCTATAAAAGGAAAAGCAGGGCACCCTACTAAGGGGGCATCACATCACACAAGAACTGATCGTACCGCATCAGATCAAATCAAAACCACTAGCATCGAACCTCGAACACACAGCCGAGCAGCGATGAAGCTCTAGGCACCCATTTGTTCTTTCCATCAGAGACTTAGGACATGTCCCTGTCTCGTCTGTTTGTAACCCCTACTATAAACTTTTCAGTGCTAGTAACACGAGCAGCAGCAACGAACTGGACGTAGAAACATTCTGTCCGAACCAGTATAAACCTCGTGTCCTCTTAACACACCATCTAAGCCAAATGCGTAATAATATAAATTTACTCATTGGTGTTTACTCGAAACACCGACAATTATGCTATTATTAATTATTAATTCTTAGTATTAGGGTCTCGTGGGGTTATATGAACTAGCATCCGAACTCTGGATGCCTGAATCAAAAAAGCTGGCTGTCGCGGCACAGCAAAGATCCTCATGTCCATGTTAACATTTTCGATTAAAAAAAAGGTACACAAGTATGCCACAGCTAAATAGTTGCATCATCCTATAACATATCTTATGCATAAAGGTTTTACTCTTTTTGCTTGCATTTTCTTTCGACACTGAACAGGTGAGTCTGCTTATCTCGGAGTAGTGCCAATTCTTTAATTAGGTTGCTATTGGGGGCTTTGGGGCTGGAGTAGCTGAGAACTCAACTAAGACAACCATTGCCATCTCGAGTGAAACGATCCAGATCATCATCCAGGTTCGTTATGCTTCCGTACAGAAAACCTCTTGATCTCATTGCCTTGGTACAAAATGTATAATTTTCTATTTCCTAAATGCACCCGTTCTAACTGATGAGATTGGCATCCAAAGTACCTAATTATTTATGCATCATGGTGAGTTGAGTTATTTTAGTTTCTTTGCATGCAATTTCTGTTCACGCTGAACAGGTGAACCTGCTAGCAATTCTTCAGATGGCTATTGGTACTGGAGTAGTTGACAACTCATGTATGACAACCATTGCCATCTCAAGTGAAAGGATCCATATCCTCATCCAGGTTCATTATGCTTTGGTACAAAAAAAAGCTCTTCATCTCATTGCCTCGGTACAAACTGTTTATCTTCTTTTCCTAATGCAACCATTCTTGCTGATGAGATGGAGGCATCCAAATTACCTAATTATTATTTATGCATCATGGTTACTTGGTTATATTTAATTTCCAAGCTATCAATACTTTGCATTTGACCTGCAATTTTACCTTCAGTGGCAGGCCTGGTGCAGTGGTGAGAGCTGTCTCACTGAGTCGCCAGGTCGCGGCTTCGAATCAGCCTCTCCGCAGATTTTGCGGGGGGAGATTTGCCTCGGTTTTTCCCTTCCCCAGACTCCACTCATGTGGGAGCCTCCGACACTGGATCTGCCCCTTTTTTGTTATGTGGAGCGCATGAAGTATCGATAACGCTTTGTACTAAAGCACCTGACAATGAACACTGATATGCACCACCTCCTCTACATATCATACTTAAATGGTTCTGGTCATTGAAACAAAGAAACATAACTTAGCTTGCCTACCTAAATAGTGTCACAACAAGCTTCTACACTTGCTGGCACCAGGTCCATGAAACCTCCTCTCATTGAAAGGGACCATCTAATAAGGTATATAAATGATACACGGTTTCTAAAATTAATATATACTCCCTCCATTCCAAGGTATAAGTCGCTTTCACTTTTTAACTACATTGAATTCGCTATGTACAGTACACTAAGGGGATCAGGCGGCAGCCATAAGAGAAGGGCCAGCATGGCCATGGAGATACAGATCGATGGAGCCTAGGTTGCTCGTCCTAGATGACCTCGCCATTGGTTTGAATAGGTCTGCACGTCTACTTCATCTCTTTTGGAAGCTATCATTTGTTAGAGCCACTGATCTACAAAAAAAAAATATGTATGCAGTCCATCGACAGTGCAGGGGTTGCTGACGAACGATGGCTGAACAGCCATAGCATCAGTCCATCAGCAAAGATGAATCCAGAGTGGGAGTGTTAGTACTTATTTCATTGCATTGACTAATAATTCTGTGATGTCAAAAGACTATTACAACATGTTTGCTCAGCTTTTTTTGAAATAAATATATGTACTCAGTTACCAATGATGTTTTCCAAATTAATGACATACTCCCTCTATTCCAAACTATAAGTCTGACTTTTTTTGTACATCCAAGTTGCTAAGTAGTTATTGTACTGGAGAAATATCTGTCGCTCCGATTTTTTTTAACCAAAATGTCTCTTCTTTTGTTTTAGAAACTCTTTCAGGCATTAAGTGATTGTAAATGTTTTTAGTTCGTTGGAGCTATCACTCAGGACATACCTATGATCATTGTTTCTGAACTCCATGAAGAGGTAATATATAGCACCATACCTTTTTCCCATGCAAAACAAAGTTAGTGTAATATTCAGACCAACAAGTAATTTTGACTATGGCACTATATTTATTAGTGTATATGAAAATTGCCTTCAGATGGGTTGCCTTCATTCTTTTTCTGTGAAACTCAAAAAGACTTATCAGTCTGTATCCATAAGAATGCAGAGTTACATGCTCTGAAAGTGCAAGAAATGGCGTTTAATGCTCAATGCATATTGCATAGACCAATCATTTGAGAGTCAATTGCTACCAGCATAGACAGTCAGTGCTTCTTCCATTCATTTCACTATTAGATTTTGGGAAGAAATCGTTATACACAGCCAATGCTTACGGCAAGGAAAATTGCTTTTAGGGTACGCGTGCTCTTCTAATTCATGCTCTCTTAATTTCATGACCAATAATACTTCCGTAATCAGCACGCATGTCCTGTCCACATTAGCCTCAGATTTACCATCTTTTGCCATCAAACTAAATGTTCATGCTTTACCCATCACTATTTTAGATGAGCACCAAACAGTTCATATATATTTTCATAACTAATATTGATGTGCTTTTGTAGCCATTGTTGTTTGTTGCTAAGATCAATAAATCTTAATAAACAAACATTTCACGAATCCCCCAACCACTATAATGGTGGCTTACTGCAAGGAGTGGTTCCCTATAAAATTGAGTTGTACAAATCTGCAACCTCTTAATGTGTTTTCTGATTAATCTGCCTTTCTACTAATGTATGCTACTTACCTGAAGAGTGAAGACCTCATACATATTTGCCTGTCTTACAATGATTACACGTTATGCTATGTTTTATCGGTTTCATTAATCATTTTTGGTTCATCTACAGGTTCTACTATCCAACAAGGCTACCTATCTTGCAGGGATGCCGATCCTGTAAGTTTAGGTCCAATATTTTCATACACTTAACCCATACTTCTAGATTATGATGCTAGAGTAGTGATGTATAACTGCACATATATGGTCTCCAAACAATTTCCTTCCTTCCAATAAAATGCCACTTTCTAATTTTATTTGTTCCAGCATTTCATCTCAAAATACCTGGCTATATTAAAGTTCTCATAATTCTTTTGCATGTCAATGCTAACAAATAGCATTGTCTATGTGCCGATTGCTCGCTATTATCACCCGTGGCACCGCGCGGGGTACTGGCTAGTATATTTATCAAATTCTATAGGCTAAGACTGTCTCCAACAACGCGACCCAAAATACAAGACACATTTGTCATTTGGATAGCGCTACAGGCAAATGGTTTAATACATATTTTTTTGTCTTCTCCAACAACAAGACCCAAAAGATAACCCTTTCTGCAAATTGGAGAGAATACTCAGATTTGGGTTATGCCTCTCCTGACAAAAAAATGGGTCTTTCATATAGGTATTCTGTTAAAAGCTATAGGTATTGTGTTAGAGACCTATTTTGAGTTTGGATTCTACAACGGGTCTTCTGTTGAAGACAGCCTAAATAGCTAAGTTCATGAGGTAGATTCCAATTCTGCCCAGATGAAAGGGTCCGAATGGGCCGTTATATATTTTAGGGTGAAGATAGGCTGAAAATCCGCTATCACTAAAGACGTAATTATCTACTTGCATAGTAGCTAGAATAATCCCTTATATCTCAAAATGGATTTTCGCCCTATTCGTTTAAACTTGTTTGGCTGATAAGTCATGACTGAAAATCATTGACTAATTTGGTGTGAGAGAAAAGTGCTATTCGTTGACTGAAAAAATACGGCTTATAAGCCAAATAAGCCCAAACGAACATGGCGTGTATAGCTTGAAATCTGCAAGCACTAAAGACATTGCACCTAGACCTAGACAACAGTCGCTAACTGCGGACAATCTGATGGTGCCATTAGGAATATTGCTACGCAAGTACGCACAATGTAAAACTCCATTGGTGTGTTTGCACTGTTCGTATCTCATACCATTCTTTCTCACCGTCTAATGTGCATTGCAATGGACAAAAGGTCATGACCCAGCAATAATCAGATGTTGGCACAAGCATGTGACAGTAAAACGACTGCAAAGCAACCAAGCTGCCCTGGACTCCTCGCACAGTTTCAAGGACCGGTAGGTCCAGTCTAACATCATGTTAGGCAAACCTTGAGCATCCGTTTTTTAGGGTACCTCATGCCTCAGTTCAGGGATCAGTCCCCCATCACATTCACAATCCTTGGGCGTTCGTTTCAATGTTAACTCGCCTAGCATAAAACTAACACGGGAAGTTTATTCATTGGATCTCCCATACCATTGATTTAGAACCCCTGCTTCATCCTTTCCTCGTACCTGTTCTTCTCATCCTGAAAACAAAACGCTCAGAATGTCAGTCATGTAAGTGTGATGTGGTACAACATAAAGATGTCAACATGTCATCAAGAGATGGATGTTCAGCGTTGAAAATGAATATGAATTGGAGAATGGTCAAATACAGTAATTTCTAGGAAAAACATCTGACCTAAAGTCCTAAGAATCACTACCTTACTGTTTTGTTTACAAAGGCAAACAATTAAAGGCCAAAACTCAAGCGATGCCAGGTAATCAGCAAGCATCAGAAATGGTACAGAGATCTAGTTATCCCCTAGTAGCAACTAGCAAATGACCCAACTAACAGGAAAATCACCACTCTGTTAATGCATATTCAATTTGAACACCACTCAGATTTATAAGGCTGTTGCTTAAACTATTGTGTTCGAAGGTACAAAGGCTGTTACTTAGCTGAAGATGCATAAAATCAGAACAAATAATTGAGACACCACTCTATGGTCTACTCTTCGAAATGTTTCATATGTAATCAGGTCATTGTCAAAAGTTACAACACCAATAGGCAAATGTGCATGCCTAGGATACTGGAGACACTTCAGGCATCTATTTACCTCACATAGCAGTATACTGTTGCAGAATGTCATGCCATGCAACCAGGAAGAACAAACGACTCCCTCCGTGCCTTTATGATCAGCACATAGTAGAGGGGCACTGAGTGAGACCAAGGCGGGCTAGGGCTAATCTCTCATGTTTATCTGCAGCTAGCGACGGTGCAAAACATTAATTCCGGGCCAGAAATCATTTTTTCCCTGTACAGCACAGCCCTCTTGCGTGGAGAACCAATGGAACAATAGCACACTAACGTAAATCAGCGAGGGAACTCGCGTTGGAGCTGGAACCGAAGTGGCCAATGCCACATTTTCGCTGATAAGGCTCTGTCCATGACAAAATGACGATCAATCTGGTACAATTTTTTTTCCTAATATGATTCTCAAAAGGGGACGGAGGGAGTAATACCAAAATTTCCTGAATGAAATTTAAGAATAATTTTTTCTAGTGTACCAAAGAATAACTTAACTAGTATGCGGGTAGCATGGGAACACGTGGATGTATGGGAAAGTGGAGAAAACATCAATTAACCATTTAGATTTTGGTGGGCCATTGCTTAAATGCTTTGTTTTAGAAGGTAAGGTTGGTACTTAACAACACTAACTTGGCAACAAATGCATCATGAACAGAAGAAAAAATTTAACATGTCACTATATATTACTCTTCCAATGTGTTCTAATGTAAGCATTTGCTTATGAAATGGACCAACATAAACAAGCAAATCCATGCCCAGTCCTTTGGTACTCGCTACTTCAGAGTTCAGACATCTTTTTTTAAGCAAAAAAAAAGGATAGAAAGGATTATCCTTTGAACATGTTCACAGTAGCAAACAAAACAGATACTTTTTTTTCTCAAAAACACAGGAGAGCTGTGTTTCTTTGTATTACGAAGAAAAAAGCAGATGCTTTCCTTCCCAACAAATCTGTCAAAATGACCACGACAAATTTATGTCAAATCAAGCATTTTTGTTCCAACAGAAACAACAACACTTCATACAAAGCATTATTAAATACACTACACCCACAGAACCACATACTCTGCCTTGCTTTGTATCACTGGTTAATACTAAATAAAACTTTTCTTTGTTTAGCGATACACAATTGCACAAAGAAATGCCATGCAACCTAGAAAAACAAAAGCCAGAACTAACATTTACAAAGAGAGATCCCAAAGAACTTTTCCTAGTAGGACTAAAGTAGTGAGATACTTCTTGGAAATGAAAAGAGCTTCAAATGAATTTAAGGGTATCAGTTTGAAGGGAGCGTGAATATGCAAATTTTGCCAAAGGCATTCCTGTGTTGAACATCTAGTACTTCATCAAGTAGTCCATAGTTGGCATCTTTGTAACATAAAGCAGAAAAGGTTCAATGATGATCTCTGTAGCAGCATTGTCAAATGGACAAAATGAGGTAGGAATATAGTCACAAATTCAAGGTATGAAATCATGTATAGAGCTAACTTCTTAATTTGATACAATTAGCACAAATTCAAGGTATGTGGTTACGTATAAAATCAAATTCTTGATTGATGCAATCAACACATGTAAAATCCAATTGCATGGCTAACATTACAGTCACAGTTAAAGAAAAATGAAAGAAAAACAAGTTAAACTATTCCTCTTCATTTTGTTCTCACTGGTCCATGACCTAAAGGTGTAATTGCTGAAAATTGTAACTAACAATTCGAGTAAATATCAGAAAAACCTCTGACCTCAAAAGCTTGCTTAAGGTACTCAAGCTCTTTGTCTAGATCATTGATAGCCTGGGTGTAGGCCTGCGTCGGGGAGGACTGGCTCGTTGTGTGGATCTGTCCATACACAAATAAATAAATAACTGGGGAACAAGCTCAACAAATCAGTATAAAAAAAGGAGAGAAAAAAAGACAAATGGAACTTGAATCGTACCCTAACAATGATCTTGTACTGAAGTGGGTGAGGGAGCTTATACCCGGCAAAGAGAACATTTGGGTCTCTGTGCAGCTGCCTGTAATATGTCAACCATACAAACCATAAGACGAGGAGCGTTAAAGAAAAAAAAACTAAATTGTACTTACATGCGGAGGATATTGCCTACGGTGTGATCCTCACGTTCGACAGTGAATGATGCAGCATTCACAATCTTTGTATCCCTCTCATAGGACACTCTGCATTAATAATTGTCATTAGTTTATCAGGAGCACAACCATAACCTACAACTAATCACAAAATGAGCAAGTGCGATAGAAAGCCTCGAGTGAATCCATAAAAGTAAAAGGATTCAGCAAGTGTAAAATGATCAGAAACAAGATTAGTGTCAGATAAAGCGCCACAGTTCCATAGCTTAATGCCAAAAGATTCACTTTACATAGACTAGCAGAATTGTTTTTAATATCAACAAGAGAATTGTAGCATTGCTTGAAACATACGTCTCACTTCCTATAGGGTCATGAACAACGAAAATCAATTGAGTCAACGATTGTATGTAAATAAAACAGTAGGGCAAGTATGGGGACTGATGAATGGCTCACTTCTTGGTGCCCTCCGGCACGACAAAGCGCTCATAACGGTCAGGGGCATTCATCTCCTGTTAGCTCTTTGCTCCTGCCTCTTCAGTCACTGCAAGCGCAGGGGACCCAGCAAAGGACATGAACACCCGATAATTTTTTTTGCGAAAAAAAAAATCGAAGTTAGTAGATGCACTTGCAATTAGATCAGATCCGATTAGAAATAGCCAAATAGCTTAGGTTAGGCTTTGGGTGCTCGGTTTCGCACAGCAGGAAGGGAAAAGAACGGGCGGGCGGGCGTACCTGGTGGGTGCTCGTTGCCGGAGAAGGGCCCGACGAAGACCTGGGCACCTGGCGTTAGGCGGAGGCGGCGGAGGTGGCGGCGGCGGTAGCCGGCGGCCCAGTCGACGCTTGTGAAAGGGGCGTGAATGAGGTGGAGCGCAACTGCACGGGCCTTCTTGTTGACATGGGCCGCTCCTTTTCAAGCAATTCTTTCTTTCTCTCTTTTTTTTTAAAGTTTTTATTACATATTATTATTCTTCCAGATTTGTATTTATTCCTTTCGTGGAACGCTACACATGGATTAGTGGAACATTGGATTTAAATTAGTGGAACTATAATTGTATTTATAGGAACATTGCAGATGAGCAAACGTAACATTTTTATTTTACTATGGTGTAACTTTTTCTTATGAAGCTTGAAACATTTTCCTCTTGAACCTGAAACAATTTTTTGTGAAGCTAGAATATTTCTCCTCATGAACAGTTTTATGTGACCTTCAAGTTTTTTGCTCGTGAACCTGGAACATTTCATCCTAAATATGGATCAATTGTATAGGATGATATCATGGTGTCTGACCGCATTATAATGTTTTCATCTCGAAGTCTTAAAGGATTTTAAATATTCAGGATGCCCCAAATAAGAGATGCTGGCTGCCTAAAGCCCATTGGTGAGTTTCATTACTTGTTGGCGTCATGACGGCTTCCAACAGGGAAGTATCTCTCCAGGATGCATGGTGAGTCTAACCGGCCTTGCGACTTTTCTTTGTTGAAAACATTCATTTCCATTTTTTACAAAAGTACGAAATTATATTCCCAGCGGACAAAACTTATTGCCACTACTTTGTATGATAACTTTTTTCAATATAATTTTTGACATAATGTTATAGATAATCTATCATGACAACTTTCATGCGGAACCTTTGTAATTATAACTATCATAAACAGACAAATTTATCATAACAATTTCTCAACATAAATTTTCTAGTGCAACTTTTTATATAATAAACTTTACGAATAATATAACCTATACACACTAGTATAGTGCCCGTGCTAACACTACGGTATCATTTCAGGGATGCAAATAAAAACAACCAAACATCAATTTTTTTTCTAGAGTTTAACTTTCACATAATTGTATATGACCATGTATACAATTCGAAAAACACTTATGCATAACAAGGCATAATAAAGTTATTTCTCACATTATTAACCATCTAATTTACGATCTGACTCTCACCAACCCAACCACGTTCCGTGTCTCAACACATCATACAACTATCATTTGGACCACAATAAAAGCATCAAAATTAATGCAGGGCTAATCTTAAGATGTTTCCATAGTGCACTGATAGGCATATGATCATGATGCAGTAATCCTTAAATCTTTTTTCTAGTTGAAACAGTAGTCAAGGCAAACGCATTGATAGTTTATTTAATTTTCAAATATTTGACAAAAGACAAGGTGCCATACATTCCATCAAAAAGGAATTTAGAATACATCGTACACAATTGCTGTAGGACTTCAAAACCTAGCGTACATGGACCTGTAATACATGATGACCTCAAGTCGCTTTGCCATGTAATAAAATGTCTAGTGTACAATGGTAAGTACAGAAGACTTAAGTTTTTAAGCACTCTGACCATAGATAAGTGATACTATCTAAACTATGGAACCATCCTTGTGAAATCACCTTTTTCTCTTTGTTTCTCCCATCTACAATACCATCCAGAACTACCAAACAACTGTCAGGAAGTCATGTACCAAGCAACCATCGATGATAATTTATCTTGTGCCATTAGTATGACGTAGGGTCCATGAAACACACCTCTTAAGCTTGTAATCCACGAGCTGTTTCCATGTGTACAGAGCTAGGATGCCAGCTGAAAGCTGCGTGAAACATGAAAGCAAATTGTGTCGCCAGGAAGTAAACAAGTAGACACAACTTAAAAGAACCATTGTCTTCACAAATCTCCTTCAACATCAAATAGTACCTCCAACATCAAATCAAATTAAAATAAAATGGGAACGGGAAAGAACCTGCTTCTATTTCTGCCATATAACATATCCACTAAAACTTGCAAGCACATTTATAGGTACCGAGAAGAATATTTCATATGTATATGTGCAAAGTTAGAAGCATCCCTTTTTTTCCCAGCAATCCTGTACAGACTATTCTACAAGTACACAATTTTTCAGGAGCCCAAAACAATTACAGCTTCCTGATATTTCAGTTTAATTTAAAATAAATTACTAAAATATAAAACACCTTTGCTGACATTTTCATGTTAATTTATTCTGAAATACATGCAGTATATCAGAAACCAAATTTCTTGTCTTCAAACAGAGAGAAAAATAAAAGTTGGAATGTACAACCTACCCCAAATATGGAATCAGATAACCATGACTTTCTATCAATTATTATGGCATTGTGCACATCTTCATTAGAGAGGTAAGAGATCATGTGATCAAGTAAAAAGCTTATGCACACTAAAATTTAATACTCCAAAATCACCGAAGACTATGCTAGTTACAAAAAAAAAAAAGACTGCGCATATTCCCCACTCCATGGCAGCCTCAATCAGAGAATCACGGGCGGAGCCACGTTGGGGCTATCCTGGGCTTCGCCCCCCCCCGTCGTTGGTAATTTTTCGAATGATAGCTATGACTTTGTGAGACTGCATGCATATTACTTGCTGCACAGTCGCATGGCTGCATGCATATTTCAAAGCAGTAATTATTTTCTTACACTTAGATTCTATAGCTGAGCAACAGAGCCAACATGACAGCGTGAAAAAGTTACCTAGCTTCTGACGCCGATGTCTTAGCCAAAGAAACAGAGAGAAATTTTAGGCAGATCTGCTATGGAGCTTGATCCGGCCCCCTCTTCCTTTCAGCTCTGGCTCCGCCACTGCAGAGAATGTATGACCAGCTCAAAAAGCGTGAAGATTAGTAGCTCCCACAATGTTTGCCCTACAATATAGTGGCAGAAAAGAACAAATTGATCAGGGTATTAGTATAGAGAGTCCTTCCTCAGATCCCATTTATTCTTTTGCCTTCCATGTGATCCTCTACATGGCAATCTCACTGTTCCTGTAGTAGGCTGAGATAACTAACAAGAACATTGGAGTGCTGAGTTGCCTAAAATTTGTAGGCTATGCCAAATCCACCACCCCCTAGTAACGAATGTTGCCTAAAATTTTTGGTAATTCTCTTAAGCTCCTCAAATGTGAACGTTGTCAAAGGATTGCGAGTTGTATCCTTTCTCAGCGCCTCCACCTCTTTCGAGTTGAATGGTAGCTGGCAGTCCTCCTTTTCAATTCTCTCCGATGGGCTCTAAATTTTGGGAGATTCTGCAGAAAACAAATAGGCAAGTCAAATATGGAGACTAAAATACAGGATGCAGATTATTCAGAAACTTTGTAAAATCAGTTACCAAAAAGCAGAACAAAAGTGTCTGATCATTACATGGAATAGCCATAAAATCAACTGTCAAGGTTAGAAACAGAAAGAATCATTGGATTGGGTCAGATTAAACATTAGGACTGATTTTTTTGTGAAGAAAATATTCAGTACTGAAATAGCTGTAACTGGATTAAGCAATAGCAGGACATACTCCCTGATTCTATCAAGATGAGAGAACACTCTCTCTCCCTCTAAAAAAATAGCATTTTCGTTAATGCCTAAATTGAGGGGATCAAACAAATATCTGAAACTTCTGCATAATATCATTCAGAAGAAAGAGCAAGCATTCAAGCACTTTGATCCCAACTTTTGTGCTGAGAACAATGCTCTTTTCAATATATCAAATTAGCTTTCGTACCTCATTTATGTGGGAAGTGTCACATTTGCAAGTAACCTAGCATTGTTTCACATTAACTGCTATTTGATTATTGGGAAACCTTGGAACTTCTTGGTTGCATATAAAAGATTGCTGACATACTCCAAATAGTGATCGCCAGTGGCATCACCGTGCAGGCCTGCAAAATTCAAGGATTTATAGCCTTAGAGATACTGCGATAACACAGTTAGCACCAAATCTTGTTCTTATGTACTCAACTCCCTCTTGACTCGACATAAAAAAAACTCCCTCATAACTCTGCAGTTCGGCATGCACAATGAGCAACAGGAAGGGACGAAAGCGAAGAGCGCGGCCATGACGGCGATTACCTCGGAGGTGCTGGAGCCGAACTGGAGGAGGCCGGGCTGCCCATCCGCGGACTTGTTCTTGAGCTCCTCGATCTTGCAGCGCTCCGCCTCGCGCTGCTTCTCCAGCTGCCGGATCTTCACCGCATCCTGCGCCGAACCCACGTACCCATCGCCCAAAACGAATGGATGCCACCAGCCCACCACCAGCAGAGGAGGGGAGTCGATGTCGTGGTAGAGAGGGGCGGGGGCACCTATGTCGGAGCCGGGAGGAGCAGGGGCGCCGCCATCACATCCTAGGGAAGGAGGAGCGCCGATGGGCACCGTTGGCTTCGCAGACAACGCCGCCGCCATAGCTGAGCCTGCCGTCGCCTTCGCAGACACCCGCCGCAGGGGGGCTCATGGCCGGTGACGATGACGAAGGGCGGTGACTGCAGCCTCCATGCCCCCCATGTGGTGGGTAGAGTAGATGTAGAGGAAAGAGAGGACGCCGTGGAGGGGAAGGGAGGGCGAGAAGAAGGCCTCCTGCTCGTGACTCATGAGCAAGGCCTCGTCGTGACTCCGGCGTGCAAGGAGTAAGGGCGAGGCGATGGAAATCTACCGATGATTGGGTGACGAGGTAGCTTCCTTTTTAGCCTTTTACCGGTGTGGT